GAAGGTAGGGATTGACTGAGAAGAAGGCAATGATATCTCCAGCAATGAGAATCAAGACATAACTGCTGGTTTGAGAGTCCCAAAATGACGCTAAAAAGAGCGCAAAGAAGAATATGGTAAAGCAAGCAACTCCCAAAACCGCCTTGGAGGAAAGGATTTCAACATTGAAAAAAAAGCCAAGGTCTGATTGTGTTGCTTTCGGATACATGTAGTCCACCCCGGTGCTGCTTAATGCATGCAGGACCATTTCTCGTTGGCTTGTATGATCCTGGTTGATGGACACAACATTTCGATTCACGGCCGAGACGGTAATTGTATTGTCGGCTAGTTCCATGAGTGTGTGAACGTGATCGTTGGTTACCAAGACAATATTGTGTCCGTTGGAACGAAGAAAATCAAGACGTTCCACAATCCAAGGAACAAAGTCATCAGTGACGCCAGAAAATGGTTCATCAAGGACAATCAGCAGCTTTTGTCCACATTGCGTGGCACGTTGGACAATCAGTTCGAACAACAACAGCTTGCGTTGCCCCCCACTCAACCCAGGCGTGAACTCTCCCGCCATGGTCCCCCCCGCGGGTATCTTATTGGCAGTACCTTCTCCTTCATAGATACTCCAGTAAGGTAGTTTGGTAGCATCAAAGTTGGGAATGCGAGAGACCTGTATGTACCGCAGGAGTAATCAAGATGTCAAAAGATTCTTCACGAAAACCCCATGATCAACCAAGTATCAACCTCTTCGTACCGTCAAGTATGGACGAATCTGGTGGTATTGTCTTATATAGACACATTTACTCTGCTTGTTCAGGTCGTTTAGGAATGTCGTCTTCCCACTTCCAGAGCTGCAGCGAAAGAAAAATCCCAGCGGAATCAAATGGTCAGGAATTATCTCGAAGGATCATCGGAGGGAAAGAATTTTGACGACGGCAGCATCAATCATACTCTTCAGACTCACGTTCCAACAACAGTGGTCAACGGCATGGCGATTTAGCTCGGAGGCACCAGTAGAATAATGAGCTCGATCAGCCTGATACATTCCGTACCGGTAGATGCAGAGCGGGAAGGAATTGGGGCAGGAAGGTTCGGCCTGAGGCCACCTGGCACTGGATCCTGCTGGGATGGATCCTGGATCTTCACACGCACCAGCAGCAAATTGTTTTCTGTTTTTTGCAATCACCAAGCAAAATCACGAGCACATGCTACGCTCCGTCAGAGATTGCACTCGTCAAAGTGATGTTCTCAGAAGCATAGCAGGGATCAGAGGAGGCTACTAGGCACAGGATGAGTAACCGAGGACTGATGACGGAAACTGTGGCTTGTAGTTACGGGGACTGTGTCAGGATCGGTGAAAACGAAGTCAAAGTGGTTGGAACTGAGACCATTGTCTATGTCAACAAGAAGCCACTATAGCTGATGAAAATGGAGGGGATGCATGGACGACAACAATAAGCTCAGATAAGGGCTACATACGCAGAGATACAGGAACTGCCTGATGGAATTAATCATGTGGTGAAGAATCGGCTGAAGCTGTTGTCCCAGTCTGAAGCTGTGGTCCCAGCCTGAAGCTGTGGTCCCAGCCTGAAGCTGTGGTCCCAGCCTGAAGCTTTCATTCCAGCCTGAAGCTGTGGTCCCAGCCTGAAGCTGTTGTCCCAGCCTGAAGCTGTGGTCCCAGCCTGAAGCTGAGGTCCCAGCCTGAAGCTGTTGTCCCAGCCTGAAGCTGTTGTCCCAGCATGAAGCTGTTGTCCCAGCCTGAAGCTGTTGTCCCAGCCTGAAGCTGTTGTCCCAGCCTGAAGCTGTGGTTCCAGCCTGAAGCTGTGGTCCCAGCCTGAAGCTGTGATCCCAGCCTCGTCCCAGCCTGAAGATTCCATCCCAGCCTGAAGATTCCGTGCTGCACCTTCAATAATAACACGCTTGATAATAGACTTACCCGTAATACCGCTCCTTCTCCACCATTTTGTTGCTCTTGTTGTGTTGCTCTTGTTGTTGGTTGAGCAAGTGATGCTGCTTTCATGGTACAGTCCTAGCTACTGGTAGCAAGCCAATAAAATCAATTAAATAAATGGTTCCACGGGAAGTGAAACGTCCGAGCTACACCATTATGTACAGTGGCTCAGTATGTGGCAAGCCAATCTACTAGTATGCTAGTACTGTACCCCATTCGTTACTGGAGAAACCTTACTGTACATATTTTGTGAGTGCTTCTCCAGTGTTCTTTTTATGGAGTTCTTTGAAGGCTATAACATTTCAAACCATATCCACAAGTGATGGTTTGATGTGAGAAGAAAGGTTTTACTACACTCAATCCTTACTAATTACTAGTGTATGCTTTAACCCACCAAAAACACTTCAAGAAGGCCTCATAATTGCAGAATCAGCTTTTGTACTCTTTGCCCCTATTCAAAAGAGCCAAAGTAAATTGCACGAGCCACCCCCAGACCCCCTTCTATGTTTAAATCGTGAGGTGACCTCACGAATGGAAGGTTGCAGGTTGCAGGTGCTGTTTTGTTGGTTTGTTTCCTTGTTGTTCCTGTTGAGACCTGCGAACTGCGAAAGAAACGGCGGGATCTTCTACCACAAATGACGTCATAAAGGCTTCATGACTGGGGGGTGCGTCAAACCAGGTGACACAGCAGACGTCAGACGTCAGTGCTCAGCTGCAAACCGCAAAGACACCGCTTCCACAATCCACAATCCAAAATCCAAAATCCAACACACAACCAAGCCCTTTTGAGATTAGACGTACAGGATCACCATGTGGATATCGTTAGTTATTGTCTCTATCTTGGCAAGCCTGGCACCAGCCAATGGCTTCAACTCATACCTGAACCAGATGGGAGGAGACGGCGGTGTTGCCTCCATGAAATCTTCCTCTTTTGCACCCAGTGGAAAACCCATGGCGGCGCCTCGTTCTGGAACTGGGGGATATTTGGATAACATTGGAGGCGGTGGCACGGCGGTTGCAACCCCTCCTCCCCCCCTCCAACAGCAGGTGAGGCCGCTGCCGCTGTTGCAAGCACGGCACCCGCAGTCGGTGACTACCTTGCATCGCTGCCTGTTCAGGAGGCACCCTCGGGTGGTGGTGTGCCGGGATACTTGGATGCCTTGCTCACAGCCTCTGCACCATCCGGCGGTGGCGTACCAGGATATCTTGATGCTTTACCAGCTTCATCGGCTCCATCGGGAAGCGGAGTGCCCTCATATTTGGATGCCATTGCTCCTGGCAGCGGATCAGCTCCCGTAGCGTCCAGTTTTGCACCAAAACCAACGTTTGTCCCCGCTGGGAGTCCTCCTAGTGGTGCCGGCGGTGAAAGCAATGTTGTCTTAGAAGCTATCAGCGACATGACCAACAACATGAACAGGAACCAACAAACCAGCATTTCTATTTTGAAGGAAATCAGCGTGGGAATCAAAGGACTGGTCGAAAAAGTGGAGGGCCAGATGGCTGGAGATCAGCCTTGGCAGTAATTCACCGGGCATGCCGCATTCTGCGATATAGGTTAGAGGTATACAGAACTGAGATCATAGAAACCACGACGTACTCATAGTGTGCTTGGTGCCAAGATTGTTGCCACAGGTCCAACCCAACCGTATACAATCACAAAAAGTACATCTAAAAACAACATACACAACATTCGCGATCATTAGGTCTGCTGATAACGACCAATTCCAGAAGAATCACGGAATTACAACAATACTTCTATTACTAGTTGGTTGCAGGACCCATGGAAGGCACAGGAGCAACGAGAAGGCACTCGTGTTGGCGGTGGGAGATTGAATCATTTCATCGCACGAAATCTGCAGCTGTTGTTCTATTACTATTAGAACTGTGTACCATACCTACTCTAGCTAGCTAGCGGCCAATCGCTGCCTGGCTGGAAAGCCTCAAGAGGGCAGAACCAGACCTGGAAGTCCGTCTTGCCAAAAATGCAAACTTGATCCCATCAGAGCCGAAAGCTACCTTCCATTGCCCTCAACCGACTGAGGGTCTTTCACACTTTTATCCCTGTATGTGTATGTGTGTGTGTGTGTGTGTATGTGTGTGTGTGTGTATGTGTGTGTTTGTTGCAGCTGTTTTCGTCACATAAGGGACACTTTCCACGTTAAGGATAGAGATTGATATTGTGTGTTCTGTTGGACACAGTAGTTTGTCACAAGGGTACCGGTACTGGCTGGCTATGTAGACTCGATAGTGTGTCCAGTTTAACACGGTGTAGGTATGTCCAAAGACATAAAGGACACTTTCCTTGTTAAGGATAGGGACATAGGGACTGATATTGTGTGTTCTGTTGGACACAGTAGTTTTTATCCACTACTCGACGGATCTACAGACTCGCTAGTGTGTCCAGTTGAACACAGTGTTGGTTTGGCCAAAAGATGTTAGAGTCTAATTAGACTAATAAGGATAAGGGAATGATTCAATCGAATCAAATCTCTTTTTGACAGTTGAGGGCATAAGCCTCCGGCTGCATGTTCTTTCGTAGCGCCTTTTTACACTTTGTTGAACTCTCGAGATGAATCTTTCAGTTGCTGTTTGTGGATCTGGGAGCAAGTAGAAGCGGTCCAATCGGCCTCCTGGGAAGACATAGCCAAGATTGATTTTGGAGCCAATTCTCCTGGGCAGAAAGTGTTTCGCACAGGCTATCATCATATTAAAGAAGAGACCAGTACGGAAACAACTCACTTCATGGATTGCAAACGGGTAATTACAATATAAATTGTCGCAGATAGTCTTGGATATCTTGTTGTTCATGTTGGCCACAATATCGAAACCGGCACATTCCAATACCACTGACACTCCCATTCGGATGCTGAGAAAGTCAGCATTCATTGCCTGTGAAATGCATGAAAAGTGCAGTGTTGGTGGCAAAAATTATGGTGATCTTAATGCCACTCAATGGACTTGCACTTACTTGAATAACATAATACAGCCCAGTAATGAAACTTCTCAAACCATGTTCAGTGTTCAGCACTTGAATATCGTATCCTCCTGTATCCTCTACAAGAATGTATCCTCCAGTCAGATCATTGTAGGAAAAGGAAAGGCAGAAATGTTTCTCTGGCATCATCCGGGTGTATTTCTTCAGCCTATCGCAGGCGTCTTCAGAAGTGTTTCGAATATCCCATTCCTGTCGCATTCCTTGTAAAAATGTGGCTCTTTCCACAGCATGTTCAACATCATCTTTATCTATGATCGCAAGGTGACAATACTCAAAATCTGAGAGATTGTCTATGTCAGGGGAGCTTTCTATGGCTGCCTTGATAGCAAGGGCCCACTGTCGTTCTTGGTCAGAGATTTCCATGGTTGGGTCTGGGTCTCTGTTTTGACTCTGGTTATCATCCATTGTGCTGGATGTGCTTCCTGTGCTGGGACATTGTTGACAAGAATGTACTCTGGTTGGTTGTCCAGATTGGCTCCTGCCCGAGGATTCAAGAAAGCTGGTGCCTCGGCCTGATCGCCCTCTACCCTGTCCTGGCCCTGTTCATCTCTAGGGCCTTCATGTTGCAATTGGTTGGCAGCATCCATGTTGTCTGGGTAGACTTTGGTATGTAGGTCTCTGTTTCGGTGTTGCGTGTTGCGTCTACATGTAATAACAACTTGCTTGGAGCTCTTCTTGGTGTGTTTGCGAAATCCGCTCGGGACTCGACTTTTTACTCGACCCAAGACCCAAGCAACTGCACATCATGTGTGTACTCCTCGGTTTTTTATAAAAATAACGCATGGTTCACGTTATTTGGATGGCTTCGTAGGCATTGCGTCAGAGTTCACACCCTGGCTGGAATCCCAAACCCGTGAGTGGGAACATTCTGTAGTACTTCTCTCTGAAGTCCGCTCGAAATACCCCCAATCTGCTTACTGTGGCTTGCAGAAATCTCTGCAGCACAAATGGCAGGTTGTGCAACGTGAGACAAGGTGCTCTGCCAATTCCTTTGCAGCCATTGAGGCCACTATCGCCAACACCTTCCTCCCAGCACTTTTTGGGGTTGCTCCTTCGGAGATTCCCGCCCGCCAACTCACCAGCTTGCCACTCAAAGCAGCTGGCCGGGCTCTTCCCAATCCCACTAGCACTATCGATGAAAATCGTAGTGCTAGTCAGAACATTTGCAGTGTGATCACAGCTAGTCTGTGTGATCCCTCCGAAGAATTCCGCATTGCGGATCACCGTCAGCCCGTGCCTGATGGTCGTGAGGCTCTTCGCGCTCGCCGCGAAGCTGCAGCTGCTGTGAACCTTCACAAGGTCCTAAGTACCTTGCCACATTCCATCCAGTCGTTCTGTTGTGAAGCGCGCCCCGGAGACTGGAGCCTGGCTTTATGTGGTTCCAGTGCCAGAAAATTGCACTGTTCTCGCTGCCCAGGAATTCCGCGATGCTTTGCACTTGCGCTACGATCGGAGCCTCTCTGATCTTCCCAGCCACTGTGATGGCTGTGGAAAGCGCTTTAGTGTCACTCACGCCCTTTCCTGCCTGTACCAAGGGCGGCCTGGTTCTCCAACACCACAATGAAGTGCGTGATGAACTCGGTGATCTCGCTGCCAAGGCATTCATCCCATCTGCAGTTCGTGCAATACACGGCTCTTAGCCTTATTCGCGACTCGATCCTAGATAGGGTTTGAGTTCGACTCATGACGTAGTCCTTCGCGAATAGTCATTGAGACAGGGTTCTCATGACTGCTAGTCATACTAGGTTGTCGATGAAACATCGCTCTAGATATTTAGCCGGCGTGGAAAGCTTCCACGCTACTAGACAGCTACTAGCTGAAGTTTCCACGTGTTCCGGAAATGGACCGTGGAGTACGTAGAGTTAGTGCCATAACCTACGATATCACACTTCGAGGCCTCCCGCGGGAGACCAACTTCAATGAGCTTCACAACGATCTCTCTCGTGGATTAGTTTTCGTAGCTTTCTAATCTCTCTCATAACTTTCATTCTCTCAAACTCAAAACATTCGAAAGATCTTTACACTAGCTTTTAGCGTAGTGCATTTTGTTAACAAACACAATAGCTTTCAGCTACCCTCAACTTATTCCTTCACCATGAAGATGCTCAAGGAAAGCATGCGTTCACCAACTTCGAGAAACAGTTGCGTGACAAACCCATTCTTCCTCTCGTGGACAACAACGAAGACGCCGAGATCGACGATTCTCGTGCAACCACTACAAACTTCGCACCGTTCCGCAGATGCAACAGTGCCAAATACACCTTCAAGGTAGCCATCTCATGGTTCCAACACTCCACGTCAGACCATCAAGTGGGCTGACGTATGGGAAGGTCTTGTTGGACTAACCTTGCCAATGCCGACGACAAACATCGCTTCTCAAGGAGATGACTTCAGCTCTGCGAAGAGTGCCTACGAAGCTGGGTGTGCAGGCCATCGTGCGTGCGTCATCAGCCCTACGACAAATTGCTGTGAACGCATTCCCAACGCATGTGACTTCTGGAGAACCGAAGTCCAATTCCAACTCGTGTCCAAGCCGCATGGGACGGTGCAGCGAACCCGCTCTAAGCGATCTGACATCACCTTTGGAATCAACGCGGTTATCGAACAAGCCTGTTACAAGGCTCTCGAAAAACGGAAACGCTTCATGCGTCGCAAAGATGCGTAAGCCTAGCGAAATGACAACTCGCGCCACATCAACAACCTCACTCGATGATACCGATGAGCTTCCACGTTTGCACCTTTCGGTGCAATCAAAGTTGAACCAGGACGAATTCATCGACATCATCTGTCATGGCATTCCTCATTCCTGGATGCGCAAGATGGACGAAACGACTCGATCCTTCACTGCCGAGATGACAGCGCTCATCTGACAACGATAGCAAGCCAGCGTACAACAAGAACAGACTTGGAAAGCAAGTCTGACGACGCCAAGTCCTACACCAAGAAGAACTTTCGGTCCTTATGAGAAAGTCTCCAACGCTGCGGTCTAGGCGGATCGCAAGAAGAAAAAGCGAATGCAACCAGTTGCCAAAGCAAGTCGGACGACTCTGACAACGAGGATGACTCCTCTTGTCGGGTCCCTCAACATGATGGACAGAAAATGGCTGCAGTCGACAAGGCTCTTGCCGACTTCGACTTAATCATTCAGATGGAGAGATTCTCCGTCTGAGGATTAGGCCAAGGATGATGATTCAACGGAACCATGTTCGGATTTCTCATACCTAAGTGTTGAAGATATCTCACTAACTAGTAAACAAGAAATTGTTTGCAACTGATGAAGTCTACGGCAAATTAGATAATTGCCTAGAAACTGCTCAACTAGATTCTGAGATCTATCCAGCATTGTTAACCTCGTCCGTGGCCAACACTCGTCAACGTCGCAAGACAAGAAACCTCAAAACTATCGTCTATGTTAGATTCAACAGACGAGAAAAAGGGAAACAAACCCGTTACACTCCGTTGCTTACTGGATACAGAAGCATCCGGACCTTGATTACCCAAATTCATTCTAAGAGATTAAGCATGAAGGATCATGGGGCGTCCAAACACTATGGTACTCCCCTGTAAAGGAATTAACCCCCAGCACGAAGTGTAAGGTGCACTTATGACTCCTGATTTCCACGATGATAGAATATCGAATGGACTTGCACGCCACCAAGAACTGGCGATATGACATGATCATGGTCGAGACATTCTCTCCGATCAAGAATCAAGTTCAATGATCCTACAGCTGTCAGCGACAGTACAGATCGTCTCGAGGACTCTTGACACCTACCAGCTACACAACCAACCTGACATCCTCCAGCAGCATTAATAGACACCAGAAGAGAAATCCAATAACCAGAGATATAATACCTAGACCAAGAGCAACGCACGAGAGAGAGCATTCAAAAGCCCTTATATAACAAACACGTGCACCACAGACCAATACAGACACACACTTTAGCCACAAGCAGCAACAATGGACCCACACTACCACAACAGACAGCTTATATAGCGTTCACTAGAAACAGCCAAACACTCACCATCTACAAAACGACTAGCACTCTCACCATAACCCACATACCACGCCGACGCCCATACCATACACCACCCGACACAAAAAAAACACACCGAGAAACAAAGACAGCAGAGCCATCAAAAACCAACATCATTTGCAACATCAAGGAGCACACTGTAAAGCAATAGACATACACACGTCGAGTGGACAGACAACACACACATATACATTCCACAAACAGTATCGATACAATAACTATATAATAACACTACTAACGTTGAAACAGAACTATGAGAACAGGATTGACAAAAACACTCTACAGAAACAATCCACCCAACACGAATACCAATGCTCACTGGATCCTCGAGATGTCAAGAAATACGGCAATACACACACCATACCGTTACCACCCACACAAAAAAAACCAACAAAGCCCACGCGCGGAGACATACAGGCTATGCACATCAGTCCTAACAAAGACATATCCTTACATATAAGGAAGATGAGCGAAACATCAACATGCAACAATGACTTCCAGTAACTGCCAAGATGCATAAACATGATCGATCCAACGTCATATCATACTAACACCAGACAGAAATTCAATACTCAGCCATCACCGCCATAGAGAGAAATATACGTTCTAGATGAAGACTCTCCACAGCTTCAGCGACAAGACCGAGACCTTAAGAATTACACATGACCAATACTCCAGATCCATCATCTCAAGAAAGAAGAGCGCAAGCCAGCAGCAAAGAAAAAGAAAAAAAAAAAAAAAAAAAAAAAAAAAAAAAAAAAAAAAAAAAAAAAAACACACACAAACACAACAGATGCATTCCAGACCAAGCACGCCATATAACGAACAGGAACGAAAACCTAGGTAGAAAACATTACGGACACTCAAAAGAAGAAACACTAACTAACACACAATCATCAAAACAGACATAAGAGACTCACCAAGATCCAAGATCACATAGATACCATCCCATCCCGCTGGATCACCGAAAAGACGAACACTACTACACTCATACCACCACATGTAGAGACAGAGCACAGAGATGCAACAACACACACATAACACGCATGAGTATATCGCAACATGTACACAACAGATCAACACATCCAAATGATGGCAAAAACAGAAGTAGCATCGAGAGACTGTCAACACCGACCAAAAGACGTGGCATACCACCAGTAT